TATGTCATGCCACAATTTTGTGCATTGATAATGTTTCATAAATATGGTAAGGACATCTTCTGATTCATAATTGAATTGTTTATCAAATCCGAATCACATAATAACATGTACCTGGTAACACTAGAGAACTGGCATCGACATGTCAATCGCTTCTCAAATGGATATGTTGTGTAATCTACGAACGGCTTAGTCAAAAGAAGGCGGTAAGATTTGGCAAGTGGTATGTTTATGATCGTAGGTTTTAGGAATCTAGCGAAGGTAGGGAATCATTAGGATCAAACTTCATTATAAGCACGAACTTCAGCTTCTCGTAGGGCTTGAAGCCTTTAATATATATTGGTTTATTACATATGCACTCTTTAAGGTATTAAAAGTATTAAATGTATTATATTTCTTATATCCCTTTAACATTCTTTATTATTTATAACCCTTAAATCTCTTATATCCCTTTTACTACCATTTTCTCTTAAAACTCTTATTGCTTCTATATCTCTTAACAGATCGAAAAGACTTATAGGACCAATAATCCTGGGAAGCCCATATTAGGTAGATGATCAACATAGCCATTGGTTGTTACTGCGTCACATTGACACCTCCTTTTACTTGCTCCTGAGATCACATTTCACAACTCACATTCCTCCTCCACTTAGTTTATGCATACCATGCATATATTTGCTAAACAAATTCAGGCAAATTCCAAACTCAGGTAGGTATTTTGGCAACTTTTCATTTATTACTTCTTTTTTTTCACTTTTTCTTGGGTACAATAGGAGCACCATAGAGCCTCTAAATCCTCATCTTCAACGATTACTGATGATAAGTTTTTTTTTTTTTTTTTTTTTTTTTTTTTTTTATAGTATCTGAATGTCTTACATTCATTCTTTTGAACTTCATTCCCATTTTGGTAACAATAACCAACATCATATGCACCATTAGCGTTACTCATATTGGCAGAGTTTTGATAATAGATGAAGGCTTTTTGTTCATCTTTTTTGACACCCATTCCATTTTGATGGCAATGTCCAACATTATACATGCCAACAGAAGGGTCCAACCTATGTGGTTCTAGAGGGCTATTGCAGGAATTATATTCGTTCTTTTCAGCCTCACTTTCAGGAAGTTCTTTGGGCTTTAGAAATCTTTAAGGAACTATTTTGGTTAGGAGCACAGAATTAAAAAGTTTAGCCCACCTAGGCTTTTCTTCACTTCGCAGTTATGTTTCATTTCAGGGGGTTTTCTTTTCTTTTTAACCTTTATCGCAGCTCTTTAATATACAGGCACTTCACTCTTTTTGTGCAGGTCTTATTCCTCGCCAGACCAGGCTCTATTGTTACGACTTACAGGCAGGTAACCTCACTTCTTGCCTTGAGACTTCAGCTTTGATATCGGCTTCTTTTAGTTCATCTCACAGTCACCACCAAAATGACACTAGAGAACCGGTGTCGGCATGTTGGTCACTTCTCAAACGGATACGTCGTGTAACCTATGAACGGCTTAGTCGAAAGGAGGCAGTTAGATTTGGTGAGTGGTATGTTTATGATCGTAGGTTTTAGGAATCTAGTGAAGGTAGGGAATCATTAGGGTCAAACTTCATTACAAGCGCGAACTCCTGCTTCTCGTAGGGCTCGAAGCCTTTATTATATATTGGTTTATTACATATGCACTCTTTAAGGTATTAAAAGTATTAAACGTATTATATCCCTTATATCCCTTTAACGTCCTTTATCACTTATAACCCTTAAATCTCTTATATCCCTTTTACTACCGTTTTCTCTTAAAACTCTTATTGCTCCTATATCTCTTAACAGATCGAAAGGACTTATAGGACCGATAATCCCGGGAAGCCCATATTAGGTAGATGATCAACATAGCCGTTGGTTGTTACTGCGTCACATCGACACCTCCTTCCACTTGCTCCCGAGATCACATTTCACGGCTCACACCGGCTACCATTTTTTAAGGGCGACGCTAGGGTCGTTTAGTCAGGTAAGTCACGTGATTAAGGACTTGAACAAACAATTTTTATGGGGTATATACTGGGTATAGTGTTGATGTATTAATATGGACGGTGTATATGTTTAGGACTTATTATTTAATAAAGCGAACGAGACATTACCCCTTAGGGCCTATTTCGGACTTTATTTATATTACTCAATTTTGTCTCTTACAAATGCGACTTTACATTGAATATTAAATAAAACTGTATAAAATTATTTACAATGTTTTTTTTAATTTTTTTAAAAATGTTTTATTTGTAATTACATCCTCCCTTATCCTCCCATATTCCCCTCTACATCTGAAATGCCGTTCCCGATCTATAATGTAATTAATTGCACTTCGTGCATTTTTCACGTATCGGGTCGCGTTTTTTGAGGACTCACATTTGTCAGCAAAATTGTTCATGTCGGAAAAATAGTTTATGCCGGGCAGAGATGAGCAAAATTATTATGCATTCTTATTTAATATTACTCATGCGTTTTTCAAATTACTGTGGTCAGCACACTGGAATCAGAAATCTAAAATAAATGCAAATCTGTTATTAGTTGGAAATAATTTTTAGTCAATCATGTATTTGCATTTATTTTAGATTTCTGATTCCCAGTATGATACTTGAAATTTACTGATCACAGTAATTTGAAAAGCGCAATAAATTATTTAAGATTTTTTGCAATAGGTAATGATAAGTAATTTTTATGATCATTCTATTTTCATCAGCAATTTTTCGTTCAATTTCAGTTTTGATCACTCAATTCCGACTGTTATCATGTGTTTTATATGTACACGTAATAAGTAATAGAATGTAATAATTACTTAATATTACTTAATATTAAGTAAAGTGATAAGTCATAAGTCATTATTACTTACAATTTTTGTTGAAACATATCGTCGGGGAAGTGGTTTATATCGGATAAGTGGTTTTCAGAAATTAAGGTCTGGAAAAAATTCGTGTCGGGGAATTATTATTGGGAAAAAAAATTTGTGTCGAAAAAGTATCGTTGGAAAATGTTTTCGGGAAAACAGGTGTCGGGAAAATGCTGTGTGAGTAACTAAACAATGATAGTCACAAACCTAGCACATGCTATCTTTTAATACGTAATATCGGTCTTGTCAATCAATTTCGGACATTCTATCAAGAATGTGCGTACAAACTACTTTTAAATATTTGGCAATTGATAGTTACAGTATGTATTACGTATTTGAATTCTTAATAGGGATTTCCGAAATTGATTGACAAGACAGATTATCGTTATACGTATAGTGATAGTATTGAGCTGAAGTTTAATAATTCTGTAATTCAAAACACTTCTATACCGAATCTGTTTTCATTACAATGAGAATGATTGTAATACAATTTTTTGCAATACATAATACAGTATATGTCCCTCATTATAGTGAAGTTAATCCGTTCCATTAATAGAAATTTTTTTAAAAATTCACTATATCGATAGTAAGAGCTTTATTAGTAAATCAACTAAATCGGGAGAATTTAATTAATTTTCACTATATTGAGACAATTTTTGTGTTCCAGGTGTATCAAGAAATTAATCACTGTATATAATGATAATATATAGCTGATAACATGTTTCTTAAATTATATAATCTCGATAAAATTGAAAGATATAGAAATAATACGCAAAGAATAATATATATTTAATGACTTATCACTAATCCCTTATTGAATTTTTTATAAACTTAATCGTAACAGCAGCAATTTACGGTTTTTTTAATAATGATGAAAAGCGAGATTGTCGTCGAACAGTGTCTCGTCGAAGGGACGGCTTTTTTAAAAGTTTCATTAAAAAAGAAACAACAAAAAGTCTTCAGAATTGATGTTGATCAAGGCCGAATACTATGGAATTCCAAAAAATCCGGACAAGGCAAATATTATCTTATTAATTTGACGAAAGTATTTTAATTTGACAAAAGTTTTAATCTTCATTTTAATCCTCGTGCCTGTTTGTCTTCATTAGTCAATATTGAATGTATCAATGAAATTCTAACTGGTGAAGCAATAAGAAGATATAGGGAACATTTCAATCTTAGTGTGGATAGTGAGCCTCTATGGTTCACTATCATTTATGTTGACTCCGGAAAATATAAATCTCTCCACTTAGTTGCGCAAACTTTACAATTATTTAATATATGGGTTGATAATTTGGAAAAATTACATTTGCACAGAAGGGATATAATCGGAGGATTAGTTCATTTGAGAAAACGGCAATATTTATGGCTAGAGCAACAATGGAAACAAGCTGATAAAGATGGCAATTCAAGATTAGATTTCGATGATGTTGCAAGGTTATGCTGTAATTTGAATATAAATATGCCAAAGTCACTACTTGAGACTAAATTTAAAGTTCGTATTGTTGCATATACTATTAGGTCGAATAATATATAATTATTGAATGCAAAGTAGTCAATAAGTGTACAATACTGGGCAAAAATTGTAATCTTGATTAACTGGGTCAAGCAATTGGTATACGTGCCGTTTCGTGGCAAAAGATCATTTGCCCACTTTGCCAAATTACCGCTATTCGATGATTTTTGTCCAGCATTGGTTTTATCCGGCAATTTATGATCATGAATAGTAAGGAGTCATCGCTGAGTTTTAATTTGAATAAATATGATTACACCATAACACGTAAAAAAAATAGCAAGATAGCAATTCATGATCATAAGAGTTTTCCGGAAAACAGGAGTTATTTGTAAAAATACTTCATTATATGGTTTTCAATTTAGAAATTTCCTATCTTTACCCATAGGGTATAATACCCGTATAAAGTTTATATAGGTCCTATATATATTAAGGTTAGGGTTAGATTTAGAAATGTGTGGTCATATATACAATTAGGTGCTAACCAATTTTACTTAAGATGTCTACATATGGTTATCTTGGTAAAATTTTAAGATATTAATTATTTTAGATTTTTTTCTTATACCTGGTATTATACCCACTGGATATAAATATATAGTAATTCTCTTAAATTTAATATGCCGGCTTCTGGGACGTAGGGGCCCAGAAATAGTACGCTAAATTTAAAGTCAGATAACTAAGTTATTCGAGCATTCAATAACGACGACTAGACTATAAATTGTTTTGATGGTGATTATGTTATCACCAAATAACCAAGTTATTTGGTGATAACATAATTACCCCAAAATAACTCGTCCGATCTATACATTTATCGAAGTTATTTCGACTTGGATCGACTATTGCGGCTTATGTCGTGACTAGTTTGAATAAGCCGAAATGGTTTCGGTAACATGTATAATCCGATCATATTAAACTATTGGATTATTATTAAGATTATTATTATATTTTCATTTAATTCTAATTTTTAATAATCATAATTTAGGAAGCATATCATTATGAAAAAAAGGATGGCCAACTTGATTTTACTGATTTTCAGCAATTTGTTAAGTTAATTAATCAAAGGGTTGAGCTGGATAAACTATTTAATTCTCTGGCGAAAGAGCATGGAAATACATTGACACTTCGTGAATTCAAAGACTTTCTCGTCAATATTCAAAAGGTGTGTGTATTTTAATTGAGTTCATTAGATGGATACTTTGACTAACATAAATTGGTTTGTAATGAATTAGTACGCCTTGAAAGAAGAAGAATGTGATAATTTGTATTATAAATTTTGTGAGAAAGGCCACAAAGAAATGAATTTAGAGGGTTTCAGTTATTTCCTCATGTCTAGCGACAATGCAATTTTTGCTTCAGAACACACCAAAATTTATCAAGACATGACACAACCACTAAGTCATTATTTTATCGATTCTTCGCACAATACGTACGTCAGAATATCTTTAAAAATCTGTTAATTTATTTATTCATTCATTCATTTTTATGGTTTATTTTATCATATAGATACCTTATAGGAAATCAATTGACAAGTCAATCCTCAGTAGAAGGATACATACAAACGTTACAAAGAGGATGTCGTTGCGTTGAAAGTATGAATATAAGTTTATCACATATGCAACCTAGACTTTTAATATTTGAAAAATATTTTATTATATCATAAATACTTATAAACCACATTTGTTTTCTTTCCTAGTCGATTGCTGGGACGGCCCTGATGGTCCCATAGTTACTCATGGTTATACATTGTAATTAAATTTTTCAACTTGTATATTGTTTACGTTATAGTCATAGTAACGAGTTTTATCATAAATTAGGACATCTAAAATAATGTTTCAAGATGTTATTTCAACGATCCGTACCTACGCATTTACAGCCAGTCCATATCCACTAATACTATCACTTGAAGTTCATTGTAGTATTGATCAACAAAACCAAATGGCTTCTATTTTACGTAACACTCTGGGTGAACATCTCGTCACTAATTTCATATCAGAAAACGAAACAGAATTACCAAGTCCTACAGATTTATTATATAAAATAATATTAAAAGTAAGCATTTTATGATTAGTGATAGATTTTTTTTTAAAAAAAAGTCCTTATCGAACATTATCAACATAGATCTATATGAAATTTAATACTCGTAATCGGGAAAAAGAAGTTCCTAAATTATCAGAAGGTTATGTCTTATCAGAAGACTATGCCGGCTCGGCCACTGATACTGAATCTGATACTGAATCTGATACTAATACTGAGTTAAATGTTGAATCATCTAAAGGTGCGTCTTTTTAAGATACCTGTTTATGTATTTATGAGATTATTAAGATTTTTATTTTTATATTTGATAGAAAAAGGAACAAAGGCTAAACGTAAGAATATCAAATCACGAGTTGCACAAGCCCTTTCAGACTTGATGGCCTACTTCTCTACTGTTAAGTTTAAAGGATTTAATAATCGCCGTGATATACTTGGTATGCTTATCAAACTAAAAATTTAGGGACTACATTTTCTTAAAAATTAATAATATTATTACAATTTTTATTTTTATATTTGATAGAAAAAGAAACAAAGGCTAAACATAAGAAGACTAAATTACGAGTTGCACAAACCCTTTCAGACTTGATGGTTTACTGCTCTGCTGTTAAATTTAAAGGATTTGATTATCATCGTGGTATGCTTATAAAACTAAAAATTTAGGAATTATATTTTATTAAAAATTATAACATCATAAGCTATAAATATATAGGGAATCCGAAGTACTATCAAATGTGTTCCTTTACCGATAATGCTTCTTCAAAGCTCATAAAATCTGAAAGAGATGCTTTGATTCAGCACAATACACGACAATTAACACGTATATATCCGGGGGGTTTTCGAATAAACTCTTCAAATTATGAACCACATCACCAATGGATGGTTGGAAACCAATTAGTTTCTCTAAATTGGCAGAATTTTGGTTAGTTTGACTTTGACTGTTTTTTCGTTTTTTCGTTTGACATTTTATATAATCTTTTTTGATACCATTTTTAATGAATTATTTCAAGACTTGGGAATGCAAATCGATTATGCCATGTTTTCTGTTAATGGCAGGTGTGGTTATGTACTCAAGCCAGAGCGATTATGCAATCCCAAAATTACTTATCCGACCCTCCCACCTCAAACTTTGACAATTGAAGTATGTAAAGTTGAGTTTGATTTCGATCTTGTTTGTTTAACGAATTAATACATATTTTGCTTCTGATTAATAAATCGAAATAGATAATTTCTGCACAACACCTTCCTAAACTGGAAGATGACTTTATTGACAAGATAATTGATCCGTTTGTTGAAGTAGAATTACTCATTCCTGGTGCTGATGCTATTAAAAAAAGGACTAGCACTATTTCCGATAACGGCTTTAACCCTATATGGAATGAAACTTTAAAATTTACATTTAATTGTAATGAGATGAGTTTGGTATTTTTGCGGTAAATAGATCTAATTCTAATAAAAATGTTAATGTATAATTCATTTAAATAAATATTAAACATAATTAATATTTTTTAAATTTATAAAGATTCGTTATTTGGGATCACGATATTGGCAATAATGATTTTATTGCATCTTATTGCATTCCTATAACTAGCTTACAATTTGGTGAGGATTTTTAACTCTTATTTTATTTTATTTTTTTTACATATTAATGATCCTGAATGTACTTTGCTTTCTTAGGATATCGTTATGTACCACTAAATGATCTTAATGGCGAGCAATATCTTAATACCACTTTATTTATTCGATCTTCTCTTGAGTGAAAAGATGATATTTAGAACTCTATAATCACCTTTTATATAGTCACATATTTCCTATATTCATAATTTTATTTTTATTGTCCAAAGAGTAGAAATGATCTATATTGATATTTCAAAAGCAATTCTGTTTGATACTATTAGTAACAATTGATGATTTTAGGTGTCGTATCGTGAATAGTTTGCAGTCAATATCAGATATAATAATTCGAAAAAAATACAACTTAATCGTTATTTTTTTTCTGCTTCGGACCTCTATCAAATTTTGATTTTCTTGTATTATTTATATATTTATATAAGCATAATTGCATTATAATAGCTATCATTTTTTTTAAAAAAAATAAGATATATATAAAATTATTTGTTATATAATTACATTATTAATATACAAGGTTAATAGGGCCTTTTTATGCAATTCTTTTTTGTTGTATTAAACTTTCAATATAATGAGATTAATTAAAATATTAAGATAATGACATTTTTAGTTTATATAATTTTTTTTTGGGATATTTAATATTTAAATAATTTCTACCGTATAAAGTTGTACCGGGTACAATTCAAAGTCATTGGATATGTTATTTTGTAAGATACCCGGGTACAAATCAATAACTACTTATAGCGTTACCATTTTTTTAAGATTACTACCTTAGAACCATTTATTCAAGCATTTGGGTTTGTATTAGATCACGTGCTTCACCAGCTTTTGTTAGAAACAATTTCAACAGTCTTAGTAATATAACATATGGTAAAGTAAAGTCACTAATGTTTCTTCACAACCATTTTGATAACATTTGTGTTCAAGCTAAGAAGTATTTTCGCATATTTTAAATTCCACTCAAATGACTTTTGACTGTGCTTACATTATTTTTGTAGCAGTTTCCAATATTAAATTACTATCTCTCTATATAAAAATGGAAACTTTATACAAGAATCTTTATAAAGTTGTGCAAAAAAAATGAAATAGAACAAAAAATTAGATTGTTATCATATATTACATTCAAAATTTAATTAATTTATTCGAATATTAAAAGATCAAATAGTAAGTTTATTTAAACTTTTAAAATTTAGGCTATTACAATTATTAATCTCATTGATTCATAAAATTTTCCACCTCATTCTGATCATAATAAAATTCAAATTCCCTGTTTTGAGTCAAAATATTTTGTCGAACCAAGAAACCTTACAGTGCAAAGTATAGTTAAAATAGGAGGTTTTGTTAAGACAAAAAATTTGTTAAGATAGAAGGTCTTGTTGGTATTGGTTAGGCAGAGAAATTGAAGTAAGAGATTTTGTAATCGTAGTATTGTTTAGATGTGAGATATTGTTGAAACTGAGGATTTTGTTAGGCAGAATATCTTGTATTAAGATAAGATTATTGTTAAAATAAGAGATTTTGTTAAGATAAGTGGTTTTGTTGAAATGAAAATATTGTTTAAACAAAAATAGGTACTAAATTAAAATAAAATATATCTTTTATTTTTATTAAAAATATATGTGTCAACTTTGTTATTATTGATTTCATTATTATGAATTTTGGTATTATTATTAATTTTATTATTTTCAACATAATCATAATCAAAAATTAAATTATCACCTGATTTATCAGTTGTAACTAAGATACTACAATATTCAAAAAAGCATTTAATTAGTTAAATATCAATAATATTTCATGTATTCTAAACTTATTTTGTAATAATATTATATAAAGAACATTTAATTTAATTATTATTAGTTAATTCTTTTTTTTTTTAAGGTGACCTCTTTGGTCTTTTGACTTTATTAATATTTTTTAGATAACATAGTTTTATAATAACTATTACAAAAAGAGTGTACAACTGGTTACATATATAACTTTTCTATATTACCTATTTAAAGAGTTCACTTAAGAGTTCCTTATCAGTTGTCATACTTAACATCTCTGCTTGGATATTTTATTTAAATCTTTTAAACTTTTAGTTTATATCAACTTTACTAAGTTATACCTGGATTTTTGTCTCAACCTTAGAACTAATTTATTCTTAAATAAATTTCTAGAACCTTTTGTATTTCTATTTACAGTTAACCCAAAATTACTATAGATGAACTAACACTTACAGTCTAGATTAACTATTAAACTACTATACCTTGTAAAGTTTATACAAGCTCAGTATCTCTTTTTATAACCTTATTAGTGTTTTGTCTACTCTTGCAAGTCTTTCTATATTACTAATTTAGTAAGTTTTGCATAATGTAAATTCATGTTTAAATTAACCTATAGTTTGTTAATAGACCTTTTTTATATAAGGATTCATCAGAAAAGTTTTTAAAAATGTTATATATTATTAATAATCTTTAGATTACTATCAATATATAGCATCTCTGCTAAGTATTTCTTTTTTTTTTATAGTTAAACTAGTCTTTTTGGGACTAGGATTTTTTTATTTAGTATAGTAGAACATAGTAGCTCACAGTCTGATTACCTCAAAGGAGTTACTTTATATTAAAAAGTACATCTAGCCACATATACACTTTTAGTATCTAATTTAAATAGTTCATTTATATATAGGTTCTACACTAGCTGTCATATCTGCAACCCAACTACAGATGTTATCTATTTAAACCTTCTGTACTGCAATTTTTACTGTATTACTAGAACCTCTTCATTACATGATGTCAGTTGAAAAGTTCTAGATATATACTCATACTTTTAGAACCTCAAACTTATTTCATACAAATTATTCTCAAAACATCATTACTAGAGCTTTTTGTATTCTAATTTACAGTTAAATCTAGTTTACAATCTTTGCAAAGTTTATACAACCCCAGTACCCTCCTTTTATAACCTTACCAATACTTTTTTTTTTCTATTCTTGCAAGTTCTTTTATACTACCAATCCAGTTAGCTCTATATAATGTAATTTTATGCCCAGATCAACTGATGGCCAAGTTGATGAACCTTCTATCTAAAAGTTTTTGTTTATACAGATTACTTGCTTCAGGTTTTTTTCTTTAGATTAAAATCTTTACAGGTAGCACTATTGAAAGTTGTACTACTTCTCTGCTTAGGATTTTCAAGCAGGCTTCTAATCTGAATATATATTTTCTGAATTTATTCATGTAACATTGCACATTTCTAAAGTTAGTCTTAGTATAACCAGAATTATAAGATCTACAAACCCTAGATTACAGATAAGTTTGCCAGAATAAGATCATTTTTTTCAAAATTTTACTGTTGATAAAAATTAAACATTGGACCTACTGCTTGAAAAATGATAACCCAACCACTATATTAGAATTGCCATCTTTCTCCTGCTGAGTATTATCATTAGTAATTATTAATAATATATAACAAAAATTTATTAAATTTTTTAAACTTTGACTTATATTTTTTTAATAACTACTAATTCAAATAGTTTTAAATTTTTATTATATATACTATTTATAATAAAAATTTAAGCTAATTTAGATTTGTAGTTATCAAAAAAATATAAGTCAAAATTTAAAAAATTTAATAAATTTTATAAAAATTGTTACTAATCAATAATGATAATAATTATTTATAATTATTATATATCATACATAGAAGGCCAAGATAATAACAGTCAGATCCAATGTACAGGACAAACTTTGGTACTTTGCACAGCAGTAAAAGCTAAGTATATGGTAATTGACTCTGTAGAAGACAATCTCAAAAAATTATTTTCAACATCTTTAAGCCTTTATAATCTTTATACATGTTTTAATAAATTTCTTCTTTATTACAATTTACTATTTCTTCTCTATAGTCAAACTATTTAATCTTATATACTACATATTGACAAACATAACTATAATAACACTGTTTCTAGTATTACTTTCTTTATTAACAATATCTATGATGAAACTCATATATATTTTCCAAATGACTACATCTTATTTAATTATACTGTTATCCATTTTTATCTTTTTTTTATCTTTTATAACCTTTCTCTTAGATCAAATTCTTCTAATTCTATTTTTATTTTATCTGATTTATTTCTTAATAGTCATACTATATCACAAGTATCTATATTTGCACAAACTTTATATAATCTTTATTTAAGCATTTGTACATACAATATTAGAAGTTACAATATAATAACTAAAAAAAGAGAAGCTTGACAAAATTATTATTTTCATAATAATATCCATATTTCTTGTATTACTGAAACCAAAATTACTAATAATACTAATCTTCAATTTTATAATAACAACTTATTCAGCTATTTTTAGGCCAATTCAGAAAGTTTAGCAGAAGGTGCTGCTATTATGATTCAAAAACATTTACAACTATATGTACACATCTGCTAAACACATCTTGGTGGAGTAATTACTTTAGATCTCTTTTTAAAAAATGAAATTAAACTTTGAATTATGGCTGTTTATCTTTTTTCTACCAATATGCAAAAATGTAACAATATACAAAATACTGTTATTACATAAATCTAACAAGCTTTTTAATACAATCTTCATTTAATAATACTTGAAGACTTTAATATATATGATGATATCTGTAACTCTTTATCTAAATTTAAACTTATTAATTATTTATACTACTCTAACATGTTTGATCTAAATGTACATGTTAATAACAAGCATTTTATATAGTCAAATAATACTAGTCACAGTCATATTGATTACATCTGGACTGATTCATTCAATATTTAATTCTTTCTTTTATATAAACTTAATGATAGCAATACCTCAATACTTAGTAACCATTCTATTCTTACATTTATCTGAACTTTCACTAATGCATATATCAAACCTTCACATTATTATACTGGCATTAGTTGCAGAATCTTTAATTACAAAGCTATATCAACTGACAAATAAACAGAATTCTCTGACCTTCTCTTTTACAATTTTAGCCTTCATAATACACTACTCAATAGCAATACCAATAAAAGTATTGAAACTACTTGGCATAAGATTAAATATTCAATAATTAACACTGCAATACATCCTATTTCTAACAAAAAAACTCATAAATATAGCTACAATTATTA